TCTAGATGTTGGTGGGAATCCTGGCCATTTTCAAATAATTCAGAGGTATTAACTGTGTAATTCCTCTTTTCTAACTACTATCAGTATTTTCACAGCCTGTTTAATCAGTTCTGCAAATGCTTGTTTGAGGAAGCATAACTGTATTGTTTGTTAAAAGGTTTGAACTTGGATGGGACATCTGTGGCCCTCCAGTTCATTCTAGTGGGGTCCACCTTCCCACTGTTCCTGGTCTCCTTCATTTACTACCAAAATGCAGGCATTTTCAGCAATAAGGAATACACTGATAACTTTCTTGACACTTTACTGCTGCACGTGCGCACAATGTTTTTTCTACTTTTCATTTCAAAATTTGTCCCTCTAACTCTGTGCTGGTTCCAATTACAGCTTTGTTTGAATTTAGGTGTGTTTCTGCTTTAAGCAGGAGGATCACTGCTGAAGGCCTTTTAAAGTTTATGAAGAAAGCCTCATTTTCTTCTGCTTTCTGAACTTATTTTCTGTTTTTGCACTCAGAACTCCTGAACATCTGGTGTGTTTTTGAATTTAGCCTGCTGGTTTTTGGGTCTAAAGCTGTATCACCACCTTCTTCATTTTGCCTTACTTTTAACAGAGACAACCACTGTTGCCACCACGTGGGCAAGCTCTCGGGATATCTATATACAACACCAATGAGATATGCAGATTTTATTTACTTTAAGTTTTTGTCCCAGTTCATTACCAGCTAAAACTATGATACAGAGTAATTTCTAGGCATACCCTTGGCCTAGGGTGCTGGAACTCAGTGTAGATGCAGAGAGATTGTTTCCCCTTGTGGGAGAGTCTAGGATGAGAGGGCAGTGTCAGAATAAGGTATTGCACAATTAAGACAGAGATAAGGAAGAATTTCTTCTCTTAGTGTTTAGTAAATCTGTGGAATTCTTTACCGCAGAGAGCTGCTGAGGCTGGGTTATTAAGTATATTTATGGCTGAGACAGATTCTTAACCGGTAAGGGAATCAAGCATTATGGGGAACAGGCAGGAAAGTGGAGTAAAGGATTATCAGATTAGGCACACTCTCATTGAATGGCAGAGCAGACTCTAAGATGAATGGCTTACTTGTGCTTGTATCTTTTATAGTCTTATGCAGAGCGGCTGTGGCCTATGGTCACATGATGACAAGCATTTCCTTTCATTTTCTTATCAGCTGCATGAGCTTCCAAGGCGCATGTGTGACAGTGACTTCTGGAAACTAGAAGTCAATGCCACAATCGAAGTGGTAATGTTGATCGCCATGCATAAACATGAAGAAATGTCACACAGGGGTCACACACTAAGTGTGTGGGGTAAACCATTTCATGAGATGAGGAGAAGCTTCTTCACCCAGACAGTGATAAACCAATGGAATTTGCTACCACAGAAAGCAGCCAAGGCAAAAACATGATGACTTCAAGAAGTTGGATATAATGTTCCAGGCTAAAGAGATCAAAGGATATGGGGAAAAGCAGGAACAAGCTATTGAGGTTGACGATCAGCCACAGTCAAAATGAATGGCAGAGCAGGCTTGAGGGGCAGAATGGCCTACTCCAGCTGTTATTTTTCTGTTTCTCTTAAAGATAAAGAAAACTAAAACGCATTATTGTTTTATCTGGTTTCTGGATTTGATCTTTTCTGGAATGAGGTTTCCAGGTTGAAATAATGGTTAAAGCTTTTAAGGTTCCTTCAAAATGATCAGATCTCTCAGTAAAGCCTTGCTTTAAAATATTATTGGCTACTGTTCCTATAGAGACGTGTTGATTTCTTGTGTTTCAGATATGGGTTCTATTTTATTTTAGACTTGGGCTGACTGTCAAGTAAAATTTGTGCTACCCAAGTGCTAGGCAATGACTGACTACCTCCATCACATTGCCCCTTGACATTCAATTGCAATGCCATTGCTGAGTCATTCTAACTCCTGCTGTTAACACTAACAAGAAACTGAACCAAACTAGCAATACAAATTCTGTGGCTACAAAGGCTAGGATTCCTGCAGCGAGTGACTCATGTTCTGATTCCCCAAGGCCTATCCACCATCTACACGGCACAAGTCAGGAGTGTGATGGAATACTCCCCATTTGCCTGGATGGGTGCAGCTCCAACAATACTCAAGAAGCTCGACAGCATCCAAGACAAAGTAACCTGCTTGAATGTCAACTGCATCCATTTTGTATCTGCCATCGATGCACCATGGGAGTGGTGTGCACTGAAGTAACTCACATCAAGACCCCTGAGTCAGCACCTTCCAAACTTGTGACTACTTCCTTAATAGATGGTAGTGAAGTTGCCTTAGTCCCAGAGGACCATAGGGCTGCTCTCTCATTAGAGAGACAAGATTGGTTATAGTTTAGCAGAGTGTCACCAAACCTCAGGCAAGGAGAGAGGCTGAGAAGTAGAGCCTTCTATGTCAGGTGGTACAGGAAGCGGCGACAGCCTAAAAGTATTATTGCTGGACTGTTAATCTTGAGACCCAGGTAATGTTCTGGGGAACTTGGTTCGAATCCCACCATGTCAGATGGTAGGATTTGAATTCAATTTTAAAAATCTGGAATTAAGAATCCACTGATGACATAGAAACATAGAAAATAGGTGCAGGAGTAGGGCATTCGGCCTTTCAAGCCTGCACCACCATTCAATATGATCATGGCTGATCATGCAATCTCAGTATCCCGTTCCCGTCTTCTCTCCTTGATTCCTTTAGCCACAAGGGCCATGTCCAATTCCCTCTTGAATATATCTAATGAACTGGCCCCAACAGCTTTCTGTGGGAGAGAATTCCACAGGTTCACAACTGAGTGAAGAAATCCTTCCTCTTCTCAGTCCTGAATGGCTTACCCCTTAATTCTCGGACTTGTGACCTCTAGTTCTGACCTTCCCCAACATCAGGAACATTCTTCCTGCATCTAGCCTGTCCAGTCCCATCAGGATTTTATGTGTTTCTGAGATTCCCATCCCTCCCTTCTAAATTCCAGCAAGTCCAAGCCCAGTTGATCAAGTCTTTCCTCATCTGTCAGTCCTGCCATCCTGGGAATCAGTTTGGTGAACTTTCATTGGGCTCCCTCAACAGCGAGAATGTCCTTCCTCAGACTAGGAGACCAAAACTGCACAAAATACTCAAGCTGTGGCCTCACCAACGTCCTGTATAACCGCAGCAGGACATCCTTACTCCGATACTCAAACCCTCTCGCTATGAAGGCCGGCATGCCATTAGCTTTCCTCACTGCCTGCCAACCTTCAGCGACTGTTCCACCATGACACCCAGGTCTCATTGCACCTCATCTTTTCCTAAACTACCACCATTCAGATAATAATCTGCCTTCCTGTTTTGTGACAAAGGAGAATATCCTCACATTTATCCACATTATATTGCATTTACCAAGTATTTACTCACTCAGCCAGTCAGTCCAAGTCACCCTGCAGCCTCTTAGCAACCTCCTCACAGCACACATTGCCAGCCAGCTTAGTGTCATCTGCAAATTTGGAGTTACTGCATTCAACTCCTTCGTCCAAATTGTTAGTGTATATTGTGAACAGCTGAGGTCCCAGCACTGAACCCTGCTGCACCCCGCTCGTCTCTGCCTGCCAGTCTGAAAAGAACCCGTTTATTCCAACTCTCTACTTCCTGTCTACCAACTAGTTCTCTATCCATGTCAATATATTACCGCCAATATCATGAGCTTTTACTTTCCTTTCTAATCTTGTGTGGAACTTGTCAAAGGCCTTTTGAAAGTCCAGATACACAACATCTACTGATTCACCCTAGTCCACTCTACTGGTCAAGTCTTCAAAAAAATTCCACAAGATCTTGACCATGAATCCATTGTTAATTGTGGGGGGAAAAGCCCATTTGTTTCACTAATGACCTTTAGGGAAGGAAACTGCCATCCTTACCTGATCTGACCAACATGTGACTCCAGACCCACAGCAATGTGGTTGACTCTTAACTGCCCTCTGGGATGGGCAATAAACGCTGGCCCAGCCAGCAATGCCCTCATCCCATCAATGAATAAAACAAAAGGAACCGAATCCATGCTGTTGGCATCACTCTGCATTACAAACCAGCTGTCTACCATCTAGAAGGACAAGACAGCACAGGTATTAGAACACCACCACCTGCAAGCCACACATCCAGACTTGAAACGATATTGCCACTCTATCATAATCACTGGGTCAAAACCCCTTCTTAACAGCATCGTGCAAGACCCTACAACACACTGACTACAGGAGTTCACGGTGGCAGATCGCCACCTTTTCCAGAGCAAATGGGGTGGGCAATAATGCTGACATAGCCAGGGATGCCAACATCTCATGAACAGATAAGAAAAAAATAAGGGGAGGCAATGATACTGGATTGACAGAAAGCTGGAATAGCCTCCCAGCATGCCATGGTGACTATCAGTTAAGAAGCAGAGGGGCATTTAAGTAGATGTGCACAGTAATGGAAGCTAGCTTTATGATCATATTTAACCTCCCATGCTGTTTTTGTTAGGAAAAAAAACCAGTACTTTTGACTGACCTCTGAATCCTGACCACAACAATCTACAAGTTTATCAAAATTGGGAATGTGTTCATCACTCAGTTTCATTCTACTTAGCTACTACTGAAATGGCTCAATTCAGAAACGGATTACTTGTCCAAAAGATCCACATTACTGTTTGTGCTCTGAAGCTATTCCTAATCTCTTCAGCTAACACCAAGGCATTCGTCTATTCATTTCTCCCTTTTGTAGGTATCTAGCTCTCATTAAGTACATCTATTCTATTCACCTCAACTACTCCTTTGGTAGCAAGCTGCAGAATCTCAATGTCTTGCTAGTTGAAGTTTCTCCTCCATCCCTACTGGCTTTAATAACTATCACCCCGCCAACCTAGTTTTGGTCTGCCAAATAAGTGGCGATATCTTCCCTACTTCATCACAATATTTCAATCTTGAAGGCCTCGATCAGGTTACTGCTCAGCTTGCCTTTTAGTGGGGAAAACAGCCCTTGTCTGTTCAATCTTTTCCGATGGGTATAGATTCTCTTATAGTTCTAGTTTCCAGTACATCTTTCTTGCACATTCTCTGCAGCCTCCAACTCTCTTTTATAATTTGGAGATGAGAACTTCTGCAAATTTTAAGTGACACAGGTACAGTGGATGGAGTACAACTCAGAATTCAGCAGTATTAATCACAGGTTATTAAGAAGCAAGTTAAAGTAACCATCAGGTCAGGTGCATTCAAACCAGTACCTTGGAATTAAAGCAGGAAAGCTCAGCTTCACTCTCACTCTCAGTCTCCGCCATCGGTTCATCACAGCTCTCCAGTTTCACTATTGCTTTCTCTGAAAAACAAACTATGAAGTTCAAACAATCTCCAAGAAACAGAATCCATACAGACTGAGATTAAAAACAAGATGAAGTGGATCATTCTAATACACAGAGATACAGATCCAAAACTGCAAAAGAGGTGGAGAAACAAACATGTAAATGTGTAAAATGAATAAAGAACACAGACTAATAATGGGATATAACCAAGCCAAATAAACCAACAGGAAGTGGTAATGAAAAGCATAAAGGGAATGAAGTTGTTACACTTCCATCAGGACCCCTTTCTTACCCAGTTTGCATTCAAAAGAGGGAGACAAAAAGCAGGAAATTATAGGCCAGTTAGCTTAAAATCTCTTATTGGGAAATTGCTGGAATCCATTATTAAAGAGGCAGTAGCAGGCCATGGGAAAAAAAATCAAAATATGAATCATGAAATCAGGTCAAGGTAGAGGCAACACTGTTTTGAGGGGGAAACGGGGTTCAACAAATTTAAGATTTCTTTGATAATGTAACAAGCAGCGTAGATAAACTGGAGCCAATAGACATAGCATATTTGGAGTTCCTGAAGGCATTCAATAGCCTCAACAACAAAAAACAGAAGTTGCTGGAAAAGCTCAGCAGGTCTGGCAGCATCTGTGAAGAAAAGTCAGTTAATGTTTCAGGTCCGGTGACCCTTCCACAGAACAGCCTGTCATGCTAAACATTGCTGTACAAGCCAATAGCTTCAGTTGGGGCAATATATTAGAATGGATAGGCGAGTGGCTAACAAATGAGAGGTAGTCAGGATAAGTGGGTCATTTTCTGGTTGATAAACTGCAACTAGTGGACTACCACAGGTATCAGTGTTGTAGCCTCCACTATTTACAACACTTTAATGATTTGGATGAAGGAACAGACTGCATTGGAGCTGATGTTGATGATACAAAGATAATTGAGAAATCATGATGGGAGGAGGATGGACAGTCTGCAAAGGAATGAGGATAGGTTAAGCAAGTGGGCATAAAGTTGATAGATGGAGTACGGAGGTTATCCACGTTGGTACATAGAATTGAAAAGTAGAATATTATTTAAATAGAGACACATTGCAAATACTGCATTACTGGGGAATTGGTGTCCTTGTACATGAATCACAAAAAGTCAGCACGTAGGTGCAAGTTACTAGGACTGCAAATGTAAATCTCAATTTTATTGCAAGGAGGAAAGGATTATAAAAGTGAAGTCTTGCTACAAGTGCACAGGGCACTGATGAGACTATACCCAGAGCATGGCACACACAGTTGTGGTCTCCTTAAGTGGAGAATACCTGTATTGGAAGCAGTTCAGAGAAGGTTCACTAGTCTGTAAGACAACTTCATTGCAGGAATCAAAGACTAACTGGTTGGGCAGAAGTTTAGAAGTACAAGAGGTATTTATGATCTCAGCTGATGTTATTACTGAACAGGGGCGGCACAATGGTTAGCACTGCTGCCTCACAGCACCAGGGACTTGGGTTTGATACCAACGTTGGGCGACTGTGTGGAATTTGCACAGTCACCTGGTGTCTGCATGGGTGTCCTCCAGATGCTCTGGTTTCCAACCACAGTCCAAGGATGTGCAGGTTAGGTGGAGTGGCCATGCTAAATTGCCCAGAAGTGTCTAGGGGTGTGCATACCATGTGCATTACCCATGGGAAATGCAGGGATTGGTCAGAGGAAGGGGTCTGGGTGGAACGCTCTTCAGAGGGCTGAAGTGGTCTTGGTAGGCCAACTGGCCTGCTTCTACGCTGTGGGGATCCTGTAAGTCAGATACCAGACTGAAATCTGGCTTGGTAGATTTCACTTTGGTTTTCATGAGGTGATCTTTCACACAAATAAACATGCAATGCTGCAGAATCGGTTTTAACAATAAAACACAAGTTTATTACGCAAAAAAAAAATAGAATAATCCAAACCATTTACATATAACTTAAATTTGAAAGTTTTGAAATACACAGTAAAATATAATCTCACTAATGCCAAGAGTATGCACACCAGAGAGAATTCCCTTCTCTATCACAGAGGAACAAAGAAAATAGGAGTAGGCTATTCGGTCCTTCAAGTCTGCTCCGCCAATAATTATGATCATGGTGGATCATCTTACTCAGTACCTTGTTTTCACCTTACCCCCTATCCTTTGATCCATTTAGCCCCAAGAATTATATCTAACTCCTTGGCCCCAAACAATTTTCTGCGGCAGAGAATTCCACAGGCTCTCTGGGTAAAGAAATTACTCATCTCTTTAACTCAAACACTGCTTCTTGAGAATATGATAGCCTCTTCCTTGAGTCTTCATACAACTGATCTTAGACTTTCTCAGCTTCACATTGTACTATTAGAGTTTTATCCAAACATTTCTCTGGAACTTTCAAACTAAATTCCTTACATGGAGATAACCTATTTCTTAAATTCTAAACTAGCCCTTTCTTCAGGAGCAACTGTTTTACAACTTCAGCCAGGGCTTCTGCAAACCTGAAACCAACAGAACTTTCTTCAAGACATTACTATTAAGCCAAAAAATTCCAGATTCTTCTATCTGAAACTTAATATATAACTGTTTACAGTGATCATTCATAAACCTCACCCAAAAAAAGTCGATTGCTCTTTAGTGTATCTGTTTTGATGTGTTTCAAAAGAAATCACCATGACTACAGAAATACAAGTTAATCATTCAATTCTTTCTAACACATTGAAAGCCCACATGCCACTAAATTAAAATCTAAAATAAATCAAATTAAAACACATAAAAAGCATACCTTATATCACAGATTATATTATTGAAAGTTTCAAGACCCTGAGGAGACCTGACCGGATGAATGCCAAAGAGGTGCTCCCCGTCATGTGCGAATCTATAACTGCTGGGGGGGTGCAGCTTCAGAATATGGATGTACCCATAAGATGGAGATGAGTAGTTGTGATCTTATTGAATTTTGGAGCAAGTTGAGGGGACAAATGGCCAACTCCTGTTCCTATATTTAACGTTATGCCAGCATACATACATCCACTATCACCATATTACTCAAGTACCCAAAAACCTATTGGCCTCGGACTTGAATATGCTCCAAATGAGTATCCATTAATCAATGGGATAGAATATTAAATGTTCTACTTAAGAAATTTCTCATTTTGAATGGTTGACTTCTTATTCTGATGCAGTGACCCATATTCTAAATTTCCTAGCCAGCAAAAACACTCAACATTTGCATTGTTAATTCCTTTAAGAATTTTTCATGTTCCAATTAGATCACCTCTCATTCTTGTCAACATCAAGGAATACCAGCCTTGTCATGGAACAATCTCCTCACTCCAGGAATCAGTCTAGATACAAAGCATAAATGACTGCACACAGCACTCCTGTGTATACTCAGCAATGCCCTGGACATGTGGTATAGATGGGAGTTTCAAATTACAAAGACACAATCATATGAGGGCAGACAAAATCTGCAGCAGGTAGATTTCAATGCATTTAAATACAAGCTCATCCATTTTACCTGAAAAAAGGAAACTTTTAAATGATTTTAAATTGTATAAAGTAAGGGACACTGGAGGTCTAAAGAACATTAAGCACAGATCACAAGTGATAGTCAGGTACAAAAATAGTCAAATTACTTATGGAATGTTAACCCCTTTTAACTAGAGGAATGAATTTTAAAAGGAAGAAGGTTTTGCTACATGTAAAACACAAAATCTACTGGCTTTGGAATAAGTGCAGCCCAGGGACAACAATGCTACCAGAGCTCAAAGGATTAGGTTATGAACAGAGATTACATTAATTAAGTTTACAACTCTTTGACCTAACCATCTCACATTGTCTTGTTCATCCATTTGTAAAAGGCCACCTCTGACTATTCACTATCCAAATTCTCCTTCCACAACCCAGCCCTGCCTCCTTATGAATCCGTCCCTGGAAAACAAAACTATTCCCCAGAATACTTACATTTGCACTTTCATAATCCCAGCTCTCTGCTAGCCACAACATTTCTATAGCTACTGATTTACTCAAGCACACCCTCACCTCCTTTAGTGTACAAGTTCCCAATACAACTCTTATTCTCTCACTGTGGTCAATCTCCTTGCTCTGGTTATCATCTCCAATACCAAAGGTCCAAAAAGTGCAGGCGCAAAAGGTTGACAACTGATTTAGCCATCCACTGCCAGATCTGGCCAGGCCATTTAAAACTTCTACCAAAAACTGGTTCGTTCCACTAAAACCCTAACTGTTCCAGGATTAATGTGGAATGCAAACATAGCCCTTGGCTTTTCTTCACAGCAAACCATCTTCTTAAAGCCTTTCACCTCCGTCCTCGCCTCCAAGCATGAAGTCTGAGCTTCTTTCTTGTTAAGAAAGAGACAATTTGTTACAGCTGCCTTGCCACGTACCTACCTTCCACTAGCCCAGCAGCTCCAGCTTCTTCTGAAGATACAACCCACGTGTCCTAGTCCTAAACTCAACTCTTTCTATAGATTCACTCCCACATTCTCTCGCTCCCACTGAGCTTACCTTGTTGATATGACTCGCCTCCTGTTCCCTTGAACCTACTCCCACTGAACGATCACTCACCTTTCTCTCTCCAGGCCCATACTAACCATTAGCTTCTGTTTAGGTGTTCTCCTCTTCTCATTTAAACTAGCCTTCGTCGCCTCTCCTCAGAAACCAAGCTTTGGCCTAAACTTCCTTGCAAACTATTGTCCTATGTCCAGACTCCCTCTCTTCTGCAAACCTAGTGTTCTCCTCCTACCCCATTATTCTCAGTGATATTGGTCACTATCTCTGGCCTCTTGAACACTGCAAATTTTATTCACTCCACTTTGATGGTTATTCCTTCAATTGCCTAGGCCCCAAGCTCTGGAAGTCCCTCCCCTCAACTGCTCTGCCTACCTGCCTCACTTGCCCCTTATGAACCTCCTTATCTAACCCAAGATCTCTATGCATATTAGTGGCTAATTTTATTTCATAATCCTTGAAGCAACTCAATTTATCATGTTAAAGGCGCTGTACA